AATAAGTCCTGTTTGAAGAGGCTCATATACGGAACGTCTCGAAATAATACCGGGAGCGGGAGATTCAATTAAACGAGATTCAGAAGCTGAAATTTCTCCTCGACCGTCAATAGGTTTAGCCAGGGCATTTATAACACGACCCAAATAAGCATCACTTACTGGTATCTGAGCTATTCTTCCTGTTGCTTTTACAGAACTTCCCTCTTGTATCATCAAACCGTCACCCATTAATACAACACCAACATTATTTGATTCCAAATTCAAAGCAATGCCTATTGTACCCTCCTCAAATTCTACTAATTCACCTGCCATTACTTCATCAAGACCATAAATACGAGCAATGCCATCGCCTACTTGAAGTACGGTACCAGTATTTACAATCTTTACTTCGGTATTATATTGCTCAATACGTTCACGGATAATTTTACTAATTTCATCTGCACGAATGGTTACCATGAGTATTTCTTAATTCTTTTTTAGAAGAAAAAAAAGTAATGCCTACAATAAGAAGGACTAATCTGTTATTTTATTTCTTTCATCGTCCCAAACATGCCAATATTAGCACTGATGGTACGTAAATGTAACTCGTTGTTCAAGCAACTATTCAGAGTTCCTAGAGCTCCCTGTAAGGCTTGTTGGAAAACCCGCTGTCGGACTTGATTAATCACCCTTTGTTGTTCAAAACGAATGGTTTCATTTTTGTAATTTTCTAATTGTTCCAAAGTCGTATAAATTGAATTAATCAAATTCAATTTTTCTCGTTCTATCTCAGAATAACCATTCACTCGAAACCGATCTGCTTCCATTTCTACTTTCCTTAACCGGTCCCGGGCTTTTTCCAGTTGTTCAATGGCCCCTTCCCGTAGTTCTTCTGAATTTCGAATAGTCTTCAAGATTCTCTGTTTTCGATTATCTAATAAATCACTTAATGAAAGTAGATTATCTTTCCATTCATTTCAAAACTTCCATGATCTCTTCCCGAACCAAACATGAATCTTTCGATTCATTTGGCTCTCACGCTCAATTACTTATGGGAACTTCCCATATCTTTTTTTTATGTAATGAACCTATCTTCTCTTCTCTATTCATATTCAAAAAAAGATATCGAAACTTATTACTAATACAAGACCAGAATATTCGGAAGACTCTTCTGACCAAACAAATAATTGTCAGCAAAGTTGTTTCTTTTTTTCAAATCCAAAGAATTCTTATTACTTTATACATAGGTCATCAATTTCGCATTGTATAAAAAGGGGCGGAAATGAGATACCCATTTTTCCATTTTTGACCCTAAAAGGTTCAAATCATTTTATCGACATGAGTGTTCTATATCGAAAAAAAAGGAAATTCCAACTATTTTTTTTTTGAAACCTTTTCGGTATTAACATAGTAGTAGAAAGACTACTACGCTGCGTCTAGACTTCAAACTGCTTAGCTTTAACCATGTTAATGGTCCCAGATTATTGGTTGATAGAGAATCAAAGTGGATTTACCAATAAATCACGAAATGCTATGGTTCTTAAATATGATTTCTTAATTTATTCAGAATTTATTCAGAAGTAATTCGCGGGATCATGCACCTTTTCCTAGTTATAACGAAAAAAAAAAGTGCAGTTGGTTGGATCCAACCTATTCTTGAAAAAACAACTCGCACACACTCCCTTTCCAAAAAAGATCAATACACCAAGCACTACACTTAGATTTATTGGATTTGTTGCTAAAATATCGGTATTAAACCCGAAACTCCCGGCGGATGGCCAGTAACCCAAAGAAAGGAAAGAATCGGTTATATTTTTCATATGATATCATCTCCTCTTATAGATAGATTAATTATCTTTCTATGATTTCTATTTTTTGTCAATTTTTTTTATTAATCATTAATCTATTATTTAATTATTATTATTAATTCTATTAATTGTTTAATATTATTATATTAATAGAATCTAATATTAATAGAAATCTAATATAATCATTTAGAATTCGATTTCTATATTCATTCTATTTGAATTTTTTACTATTTCATTTTTCAATATATTAATAGAAATATCAAAATATTTCGATATTGTATATTGATTTTATTTAAATGAAATTGGTCAATTGGAGGATTTCCCACAAGAAAATGATCCTTATTAGAATTAGATACCAGGTCTTATGGCAATTGCCAAATACCTAGTTTTTTGCAACACTTTTTAAAAACTTTCTAGGGGTTCGTTGGACTAAAAAAGGGAAGGAAGAAGGCGAGTCAGTATGCTAATTACTCACCCTCAAATCAGCCCTTCCCGTGGGTTCTTGTCTGAATCCGAATCAATAAATAATTGTAGAAGTAAAATCTTAATAGGATTCGAAAAAGCAAAGCAGCAAAGCAAGTCCACGAAAAAAAATATATGTATTTGATTTGTATTTTTAGGATTAAACAAAAGGATTCGCAAATAAAAGCGCTAATGCTACAAACCAGCCCATAAATTGTTAAAGCTTCCATAAAGCCAGACTAAGCAATAAAGTACCCCGTATTTTTCCCTCTGCCTCGGGTTGTCTCGCGATCCCTTCTACAGCTTGACCTGCAGCAGTACCTTGACCAACCCCAGGTCCAATAGAAGCAAGCCCGACGGCCAACCCAGCAGCAATAACCGAAGCGGCAGAAATCAGTGGATTCATGATAAGTTCCTCGCACCCAAAATAAAGAAAAGAAATAGTTAATGATACAATCAACCAACAAATTATGACTTAATTATTCCATCATTAAGATTTATCCAGTCGAAGTAATTAAGAATTCGAATTGAAAAAAAAGAATATTTATTGAACTATAATAAGATTTATCGAACTATCAGAAAGACTTCGATATTTATTTTTAGTTTCTATCCACATAGTTTTTGTGAATCCCTACAACTTTTGTTCTTATCTTACTTTCCATTTCCAAACCATTCTTTGAATTCTTCGTTCTTTTTCTTGATTTAATCTCTTTAATCATTCAAGATTCAATTCACAATTCTAGATACTAGATAAAACGGAAGGACTTCTATTTTTGAATCCGTATCTAAATTTACAGTAGCAGGGCAAATTTAGATATATGTTTAGTTCATATATAACTAGTTAATATCTAATATCACATATACATGTGTTTTTTACATACCGTAAACCTATTATTCTTGTCTTACATTCAATCGGATTCGAGAAGTTTTTTTGAAACATCCACAAAACAAAGAGCTGTGTTATAGCGATTAGATTCTATACACCTAGTTTGACCCCTCCACTCCTACCCCTTTTTTTTAATCTCGTTTTTTTTTAAGCCTTCTCTTCCTTTTATTTATCACGAGCCCATATGGATAAAATCAATCTAAATCAATTCGGTAGACCGAATTATTGCATAGAAATGTCAGCATTTGAGTGATCTAAGTTCATGTAATTTGATTTTATTATTTATTCCAATTTGGTCAATCATTGAATTGAATGACTGAATGAAAGGAGAATCCGTTCTATATAACATCTTTTTAATCACACGTCGTAAACGGAGATACCATACAAATTCTTATTTGTATTATTTCAAATTATGGATCCTAATATATTAATTATATTAATAGAAATTATATATAATATATAAATAGAATTTCTATTTTATTAATTATTAATTAATATTTATTAATTCTTTTTTTATTTATTATATAATCTAAATAATCTACTCTTTAATGTTCTAATTGAATGAACAAAACAAAATACAACAACAACATCCAAATCCAAAACAAAAAAAAAAGAATATTCATTGGAGGGAAGTCAAAATTGGTCAAAGAAGAGTCTTTTAGGAAAAATAGGAAAAAGATGTTTTAGATGGATCTCTTTCCTATTTTTTTTTACAATTCCCCCTGGTAATCTTTTTTACTTTTAGACAAAATCGTATACTTATTTTATTTAGACCTTATTTGCATCTTTTTATTTTGGATAACCTTTTTTATAAATTTCTTTCTCTTTTTTATAAATTTCTTTCTATATTTTTGTTTCATTCCCTTAAGTAGATTCTTTTGAACCGCACATACATTGCGGCGGGCTAAGATAAAAACAAAGACTATTTCGAAAACTAGTCAATGATGGCCTTCCATGGATTCACCTATATAAGCCGCAGCTAAAGTTGCAAAAATAAGAGCTTGAATACCGCTTGTAAATAATCCAAGGAACATGACAGGTATAGGAACCACTAAAGGTACTAAAGAAACAAGAACAACAACTACTAATTCATCAGCTAATATATTTCCGAAAAGTCGAAAACTAAGTGATAAGGGTTTTGTGAAATCTTCTAAGATGTTAATCGGTAAAAGGATTGGGGTTGGTTGGATGTATTTACCAAAATAACCTAATCCTTTTTTTGAAAGACCCGCATAAAAATATGCTACCGACGTAAGTAAAGCTAATGCAACAGTAGTATTTATATCATTTGTGGGTGCAGCTAACTCCCCATGAGGTAACTGTATGATTTTCCAAGGCAAAAGAGCCCCTGACCAATTCGAAACAAAAATAAATAGAAACATAGTTCCAATAAAGGGAACCCACGGACCATATTCTTCTCCAATCTGAGTTTTGCTCACGTCTCGAATGAATTCAAGGACATATTCAAAGAAATTCTGACCGTCAGTAGGAATGGTTTGTGGATTTCGAACAGCTATAATGGCTGAAAACTAATAAAATAGCAATTACAACCCAAGAAGTAATAAGTACTTGGGCATGGACTTGGAAAACTCCCTATTTGCCAATAGAAATGTTGGCCTACTTCCACAGCCGATATATCGTATAATCTTTTTAATGTGTTGATGGAACATAATAGAACATTCATATTGCCCTCTGAAAGAAATACAACTTTAAAAGGAATTATTTTGATTCAACCATCTCTTTTTCGGCTTGTCTACTTTAATTTTGGATTTTGAATACCAACTAATCACATAATATCTCCGGTTATTCTTTTTTGCGCGATTCAGTAATAGTATAGTAACCAATTCCATAAATCTATGGAGTTCCCCAAACCAAATAATTTATTTATCTTATTATTAATCAAAAATTTCGTATATAGCTAGAACGACCCTCACAAATTGCAAATACTAATTTGGTAAGAATTAATCGGATTGAAGCTATAGCATCATCATTAGCTGGAATCGAAATATCCGCGAGATCCGGTTCACAATTTGTATCGATTAAACAAATCGTTGGAATTCCCAAAGTGATACATTCTCGAAGAGCCGTATATTCTTCTTGCTGATCAACGATTATTACAATATCGGGTAACCCCGTCATATATTTAATGCCGCCCAGATATGTTTCCAAGCGAGATAATTGTCTCTTCAACATAGCGGCATCTCTTTTCGGAAGACAGTTGAGTCTCCCCGTCTTTTGTTCCGTTCTCAAGTCCCTGAACTTATGAAGTCTCTTTCTGTAGTATACCAATTCGTTAACATACCACCGAGCCATTTTTTATTAACATAATGACACCGAGCTCTTATTGCAGCCCGCGCTACTGAATCAGCTGCTTTATTTTTGGTACCAACAATTAAGAATTGTTTTCCACTACTTGCTGCATCAAAAACTAAATCACAAGCTTCTGATAAAAAACGAGCAGTTCTAGTAAGATTTATAATATGAATACCCTTACGCTTTGCAGATATATAAGGTGCCATTCTAGGATTCCATTTCCTAGTACCATGGCCAAAATGAACTCCTGCTTCCATCATCTCTTCCAAAGTTATGTTCCAATATCTTTTTGTCATTTATCCCCACACTTTTCTCTCTTTTTTTTTTTTCAAATAAAAAAAGAATTTGAAAAAAAAAGAGTCAGGTATCCTGAAATAGAAATCAATAATTGTTCCGATGGAACCTTCTCTTCTACCGAAGATGGCCGTTGATACACGATCAGGCCATTCATTTTTTTCTATTCGGTATTATCTTTATTACTATTACTAAATAAAATGACCGCGTTGAAAGGAAAGGGATGAATCCGCTCTTAGGAATGATTAAATCCTCGAAATGATTGCTCTGATATATCACATAAATTCTTTGAAAAAAAAAAAGATTCTCGAGGAAATGAGAGTATTTTGTTCCACCACAGAGAATCTTTTTTTTTCATTTCAAAGAATTTATGTGATATATCAGAGCAATCATTTCGAGGATTTAATCATTCCTAAGAGCGGATTCATCCCTTTCCTTTCAACGCGGTCATTTTATTTAGTAATAGTAATAAAGATAATACCGAATAGAAAAAAATGAATGGCCTGATCGTGTATCAACGGCCAATCTTCGGTAGAAGAGAAGGTTCCATCGGAACAATTATTGATTTCTATTTCAGGATACCTGATCTCTTTTTTTTTCAAATTCTTTTTTTATTTGAAAAAAAAAAAAGAGAGAGAAAGTGTGGGGATAAATGACAAAAAGATATTGGAACATAACTTTGGAAGAGATGATGGAAGCAGGAGTTCATTTTGGCCATGGTACTAGGAAATGGAATCCTAGAATGGCACCTTATATATCTGCAAAGCGTAAGGGTATTCATATTATAAATCTTACTAGAACTGCTCGTTTTTTATCAGAAGCTTGTGATTTAGTTTTTGATGCAGCAAGTAGTGGAAAACAATTCTTAATTGTTGGTACCAAAAATAAAGCAGCTGATTCAGTAGCGCGGGCTGCAATAAGAGCTCGGTGTCATTATGTTAATAAAAAATGGCTCGGTGGTATGTTAACGAATTGGTATACTACAGAAAAGAGACTTCATAAGTTCAGGGACTTGAGAACGGAACAAAAGACGGGGAGACTCAACTGTCTTCCGAAAAGAGATGCCGCTATGTTGAAGAGACAATTATCTCGCTTGGAAACATATCTGGGCGGCATTAAATATATGACGGGGTTACCCGATATTGTAATAATCGTTGATCAGCAAGAAGAATATACGGCTCTTCGAGAATGTATCACTTTGGGAATTCCAACGATTTGTTTAATCGATACAAATTGTGAACCGGATCTCGCGGATATTTCGATTCCAGCTAATGATGATGCTATAGCTTCAATCCGATTAATTCTTACCAAATTAGTATTTGCAATTTGTGAGGGTCGTTCTAGCTATATACGAAATTTTTGATTAATAATAAGATAAATAAATTATTTGGTTTGGGGAACTCCATAGATTTATGGAATTGGTTACTATACTATTACTGAATCGCGCAAAAAAGAATAACCGGAGATATTATGTGATTAGTTGGTATTCAAAATCCAAAATTAAAGTAGACAAGCCGAAAAAGAGATGGTTGAATCAAAATAATTCCTTTTAAAGTTGTATTTCTTTCAGAGGGCAATATGAATGTTCTATTATGTTCCATCAACACATTAAAAAGATTATACGATATATCGGCTGTGGAAGTAGGCCAACATTTCTATTGGCAAATAGGGAGTTTCCAAGTCCATGCCCAAGTACTTATTACTTCTTGGGTTGTAATTGCTATTTTATTAGTTTCAGCCATTATAGCTGTTCGAAATCCACAAACCATTCCTACTGACGGTCAGAATTTCTTTGAATATGTCCTTGAATTCATTCGAGACGTGAGCAAAACTCAGATTGGAGAAGAATATGGTCCGTGGGTTCCCTTTATTGGAACTATGTTTCTATTTATTTTTGTTTCGAATTGGTCAGGGGCTCTTTTGCCTTGGAAAATCATACAGTTACCTCATGGGGAGTTAGCTGCACCCACAAATGATATAAATACTACTGTTGCATTAGCTTTACTTACGTCGGTAGCATATTTTTATGCGGGTCTTTCAAAAAAAGGATTAGGTTATTTTGGTAAATACATCCAACCAACCCCAATCCTTTTACCGATTAACATCTTAGAAGATTTCACAAAACCCTTATCACTTAGTTTTCGACTTTTCGGAAATATATTAGCTGATGAATTAGTAGTTGTTGTTCTTGTTTCTTTAGTACCTTTAGTGGTTCCTATACCTGTCATGTTCCTTGGATTATTTACAAGCGGTATTCAAGCTCTTATTTTTGCAACTTTAGCTGCGGCTTATATAGGTGAATCCATGGAAGGCCATCATTGACTAGTTTTCGAAATAGTCTTTGTTTTTATCTTAGCCCGCCGCAATGTATGTGCGGTTCAAAAGAATCTACTTAAGGGAATGAAACAAAAATATAGAAAGAAATTTATAAAAAAGAGAAAGAAATTTATAAAAAAGGTTATCCAAAATAAAAAAGATGCAAATAAGGTCTAAATAAAATAAGTATACGATTTTGTCTAAAAGTAAAAAAGATTACCAGGGGGAATTGTAAAAAAAAATAGGAAAGAGATCCATCTAAAACATCTTTTTCCTATTTTTCCTAAAAAGACTCTTTCTTTGACCAATTTTGACTTCCCTCCAATGAATATTCTTTTTTTATTGTTTTGGATTTGGATTGTTTTGTTGTATTTTGTTTTGTTCATTCAATTAGAACATTAAAGAG